ACCAGGGTGCAGATCACATGAGGGTGTTAATGGCTGGTTTCCTTTTAAATAAAATGTTAGAAATTAAGGATTATTTATATGGAGATTCCTAAACTATAAAAATGTACAAATGAATCTCATAGATTATTAAAAAATATCACTGTACTTTCTAAACTATAAAATCATACAAATAGATTTCTTAAACTATTGACGTGTTTCACTTTGATCCTTTTCATTAAGGGATCTAAAATTGATACGTTTTTATAATTTAAGGAATCTATTTGTACACTTTTATAGTTTATAAGACAAAGCCACACTTCTCAATAGTTTAAGGGGTACATTTGTATATTTTTATAATTTAAGGGGTCAATATGATATTTCTCAAGAGTTTAGGGGTCTTTATGTAAATAATCCTAGAAAAAACTAATACAGTGGGCAATTAGATAAAGCATCCAATTCATACATTACAAATATGAAAGTTGAGGAAGACAAAGATTATTAGTTGATTCAAATGAGGATAACTAAATACTGTTTGAGACTTCATTAATCCATAATTAACCTACGAAACTCCTCAATCTGATCATTAGGAAGTTTCAGGCAAACGCTAAGCCCTCCCTCATCTGTTGTCCCTGGCAATAGATATACCAAACCAGCTGATCAAAAAAAAAAAAATTAGATACACCGAACCAGGTTTAACCAACACTGAAGTAGTACACTGGTACACTGGATCTTGCGCCAAACAAACTCATCTTCCTCTTAACCCTAATCTCCACCCAGCCACCAGTGAAAAAGGAGGAGACGATAGGTACACACAGCATCAAACTAGATATAAACCAGATCCAGCAATGGCTGCAGAGAAGGTGGTGGGTGATAGCAAGCAATGGCAATGGCCACAGTTGGTGGTGACAAAAGAGGAGGGAGCGGTAGACGTTGGTGGGGAAGTGTGGGGGATGGGATGCTGGCCTTGAAGGGGTTGGTCAGACTGGGTTAGGGTGTGCAGAGGTTGAGAAAAGGAGGGAGGGGAAGAGGAAAGGAAGGGGGAGAGGGGTTGAGGGCAAAACGGTAATTGACATGATGTTTTTTAAATTACTTTTTAATTTCCATGTATTTAATTTTTTATTCCCACATTTTGCAATTATTTTACCTTTTTTTTCACTTTTCTGCACTTTTTTCTATAAAGTAATCTGTTTTAAAACAAATAATGTGCAAGGTAATGTGACAATTTTCAAAGTAAGTTTCATTTGAAATGTTTCTTACAACATCTATGCTAAAAAAACCTACAAAATACAGTAAGCTTAGCCTTACACATAGGTCGCAACACTTGCAAGAAATTCAACTAATATTGTGTCTAGTTGGCATTTCTGTTACATTTGTTAGTGTTCCCAACATAATTTATATAACAGTCCAAATCATGACTGGATTTTGAAAATGTATGAAAAAACACTCAAACACATGGATGGCTTACATGGTCAATACATTTCGAATAGCTCAAGCTGAGTTGGGAAAAAGTATTTCATCTAAAGGGGGAAAAAAAAAAAATTGTATATCTAAATCAAAATACCTAAGAATGTGACATACATTCATCACGGATTTGCTCTCCCACCTATGGCAGAGAAAATCCTGGTATAATAAAGCATCAACATAATTCAAGAAATTCAAGTTTTTAAATCTTTCCCAACCTATGAATCTTTTTATTCATTTGATACCAACAATAAGCTCACTGAAGCCATTTTCACCAACACAACTGAAGAATTAATCCTAGAAAATTACATGCAGAGGTGTACCAGTTAAAACAAGGCCGCTGACTTGTGACAATGTTGTCAGACCACAACACTAGGATCCAAGAAACATGCAAAGGAACCTGGTCCACTCCAAATGTCAGACTTTGAATTCCAATGCCAAAAGTGTCTTCTTTCTTGGACCCTGAAAGAACCACAATGAACCAAAAAAGCTTACAATCAAATTTGGGAGGGGCAATGTAGAACTAGTGAGACACAAGAAAAAGCAGTGTGCTTTTTGACATTAAATAAAAATAATAAAAAGATGGTTTTTGCATTGATCCACAAAAACAAAAATATAAATAAATAATAAAAAAAATAGAAAGAAAGAAGAAGAGTTACACGGTTTCAACAAAAACAACACACTCGCAACTCTTCATCTAATCAGACTCCAATCACATGGTGCAAGAGATTAGTGTAGCTATAATTACCATAAGGGATGGTTATTGAGAGCTTCTATTTCCACATACCAAACGACGTGTGATCCATGTAGTCCTTCGGATAATTTAGGATGAGGCAGTGAGGAACTACTTAAATATGTAGAACCTCCTTCACAAAGTCCACAGTTGTTTTATTTTGTTATTTTATTATTAGGCATCATTTTGCCTCCAGTTCTCCAGGGTATCTCTTAATTAGATCAAGCAAGATTGGAGATTCAGTAATCTGCTTCCTCATTCTTTTGAGCCCAACGGAAATTGCTCCTCTTTAGGTAAACCAAGGGTTATTAGGAGATGGTTCATGAATTACTTTGGTCTTATCAAGTTTTTTGCTTCACTCCCAAGGCAGGCTAGATTCTTGCCATGGGAAGTGGTTTGCTTTTAGGTGGGAACTAAAGTGAGGAGAGGTTTAATTAAAATCGTGTTACTTCATTAAACAAATTATCTCTGTATGAATAGATAAATAAAAATCGCAAGTGTCTGAGACACGTATCAAAACAGCAAATTCTATATCAAGAAGGGAATTCCACTATCATTGATCAGCAAAGGCGATAAAAATGATTACAGATATTATAGCAAGACAGGATCTCTCTGTACACTAGGGTGAGTTTAGTCAAGTTTACCATTGGCATTCCTAAAGCCTTTAGATTGTCACCAGTCGTGCACGAGCGCTGTCATATCAACCTGCACAAACAACATGAAGTGTAGAAGTAGTAAGAGGAAGTTATTAAGGCACTGGTTGAAACCAGAGAGCTAGCATGTAAAATTGCTACAACACAGGAATGTTGAGATGAATGCATACTTCCTCCACTTGGAATGTAATTGAGTATTTTTCCAGACCGAGGGACTGCAGGAAAGTATCAACAGATTCAGCCTGCACCAGACATGTATCATTCAGCCTGCAAAACTGCAATTCATACTCAGAAAAAGTATATATTTCTATACAAAGATGTTAACCAAGTCACACTCACCACCTGAACACGAGAAAATCTGAAAGAAAAAAATACATGATGGTGCCAATTATATGACATGTCTGTGTGAGTAGTAGTAGTTATGACAAAAATATTGTTTTCAATATGAACTGTGTCTGTGTGCCTACAACATTTTCGATCTGGATCTATCATAACCACACATCTCAGAATATATTGAATTTTATACTTCATAACGGCTGTAATAAAATGCAGGGGAAGAAATAAAACAGGGAGGTCTGTGCCTTTTGCTGAGTCTTTTTCCTAGGGACTGAACTAGCAACATTTTTGGTCTGTGGTTCAGGGGCTTCAACAATTACACTTTTCCTCACAGGTTTATTATCCTTAAGTACTGGCTTTGGAGGATCAGTGTTCACAGGCTGTGAGTACATCGTGCCAGAGAGCTTTTCACGCAGATCCCTTGCGCCTGAAACAGACCCATTTCCACTTAACTTTCTTGCTGGACACTCTTATTCTGGAGCTTCAGACGAAGATCTTTACTGCCAATTCTGTGATCTTCAAGCACCATTAACATACAATCAAAATGATACAATAGCGATGTTTAGAAGCGACAGTTTGTATACAAGTATACACATACATATTTAAATATGTTTCAAGCAACTAAAGCAGCAATCACTAGTTCTAGTTGAATTCAATCATGTCACAAGAAACCGTCACTACAACATATAAGACTTTTGGCGACCAATTATTTTGGTTCCTAAAACTATTATTTTGGTCTCTAAATAGTTTTTGTGACAAAATTAATTCCGTCACTAAAACAGTCACTAAAAGTGCGTCTAGGAAAGTCTTTAGCGACAAATTTTTGAAAATGTCACTAAAAATGACAATTAGCGACCAATTTTATATTGTCACAAAATGTTTAATTTTACAAGACTAAACATTTGGTCGCTAATACTTCGTCATAAAATGTCCCAATTTGGTCGCAAAAAACAAAATAATGACATTTTTAACGACAATGATATTTGGTCGCTAAAAGACAACTTTCTCTACAACATATTTTCGTCGCTAAAAATCAAAATTAAAATTTTGTAATCATTTAATCTCATAGCTTAAAATGCACAAAATTAAATGTCATCAAATCATATTTAAAAAAAATTGACATTCACATATCAAACGCACTCTATTCCCAAACCATAATGAGTATATAGAAAGTAAAATTTTACAAAAATTAAAACTGAAAGCTTCCAAATTCAAATCAAAGTAGTAACAATTTAAATGAAGAATAGCAATAGTTTCTTCAAAGAGAATCTCTAAAAAAACATTTTCTCAACATCAATATCAGGCTTTATATCAGACAGCCTTAGCACAAGAGGCTTCAAGCTGTACTTAGGTGTGACACCCTTTGGTCATCCCTGCAATCCAAAATTCAAAAAGAAAAATCAAATAATAAGAATCAACACAACATAACCTCATTAAATAATCAATAGTCATTCATAATCAAATAAGTTACAAATAATGAAAAAACACGTTATTCAGTGTACTTGGAGTAGTAGTGAGCTATAATAAGAATCAACTATAATAAGAATCAACACAACAAGAAAGTGAGTCACCTAGAATCAACACAATAAGGTTATCATAATCTAAGCACGTAACCAATAGGTAGCCTTCTCTATATTGCCAAATACCAAATACACAGCCAGGGCAGCAAGGACATAATCTAGTAGCCACTTGTAACTCAAAAACCCCTTGGATGATCTAGTCCTAATCATTTACATTGTTCATTCTTAGTGCTAAAGATTTACAACACATGAGGTGATACCCATTGCCAATACGTTCAAACTTGTGAGGGAGACTCCAAATTGCATATCTAACACCTGATTTGAACTTTTCTCAAAGCCTTTGCAAAGCTTCCAGTGAGGGGGTTTCGTATCCAGAGAATGACAAAAAATGTACACAACAACAATGAGGCTTTGTTCAAAGGTCACAAAATGGGAGGCTCTGCAGCATTCTAAGTATTACTTTTCTAATTATGAAGAAGGAAAATGACACCCAAAAAAAAAATTTTTCAGAGAAAATCCATCCAAAATGATGAGACAGTGGCATTTTTTTAATTATGGACTGCAATGATGGGTTTTTGCTTGAAATGAAAGGACCACAAAAAAGCCTATGAAAATTCCGCATAAAAATTATGTTTGTATAGAATTACTCTATTAGAAAAAAAGATAAAAATTCTGTATAAAAATTATTCCTTCTCATTTACACTTCATTTGATCAATAATCTCATAGGAAAACAAAGACCTACCTGGTGTCAAAACAAATTGCAGATATGTATGCCAAAGTCCTTTTGGAGCCACATTATATCATGATCTGCTCCATATATGACCTGATAAGTGGAAGTATCATTACAATAAGCAAATCTACCATCATCTCAGAGATGTATCACAGAAAACCCCTTTCAGAGCAATCTACAGCCCTAACCAATGAAGAATGTAGCCCTAGGTGGGAGAAGAAAAGGATCAAATTGAGTCCAAAAAACAATATAATTTCCAGAGCACTGCTCAAGATTTCTTGTAAAAAAAGTATTAAGATTCAACATACAGAGATTGAAAAACAGAAATATAAAAGAGTCAGGTACAATTAAATAGGTCAGGAGCTGAATTGCACACAATCTTCCAAAACAAAAAAATAAAATAAAAAATGCACAATCCATTTTCTAAATTTCATCTCTTATTAATCTTTAAATAAAATAAAATAGAAAAACTTTGAATTATTATGAGGAAGTTTGCCCTCAATAACATTTAATTTTTTTTACGTTCTTTTACATTTAAGCACACCCACAAACAAGTTGAGCTTGTTCAACTTGATTAAATAGTGCTAGACTGGTCTGCTCATTTCCATTCACAATTTGATAATTTAAAAGGGTTTGATTTCTGTATAAAGAACATACCCAACTATTGGAGATAACATCCATCCAGTATATGACCCTTTAATATACCACCCACAAACAAGGACAGCTGCTCAAAAAAAGATATATTTATTTACATAAAACAGTTGAAGAATATAAGACCTTTAATATCGAACTAAGATAAAGCAGAGCATAGATTAAATGATAGACATCAACATTTCAAATAAAATAAAATAAAAAAAACAACGGACCACACATGCCTCACTACACACATCAGAAAAAAGCAACAGACCACACCTAGCATCTCATGCAAATCTGAAACTATGAGATTTGATAGAGTTGTATCTTCAGATCTGCATTACAAATTTCAAACAGAAACTTCAGATCTCCAATATAAGTTTTGAAAGTAAAACTGAGAGGAGAGAAAGAGAGAGAATCCTTACCTTTGAAATCTAGGGTTTTTGGAAGTGAACGAGAGACAAAAAGAGATTGCAATATTGTGAGATTTGATATAGTTGAAATTCAGATCTGCAATACTAACTTCAGATCTGAATTTATAAGTTTTAAATTAAAAACAACAGATCTGCAATACGAATTTGGAATGCAAAAAAATTGAAAGTAAAATTGCAAGAGTCCTAACCATAAACACTATATTAAACACCTTCGACAACATTAAATGAACTCTAAATTATTTTTTGAGAACAGTTTCCATGCTGCAAGGCAATTATATTACAAGCAACGGGCAATTTAAAGGTCCATATATCAAGGTCATAGACCCCCTCATAGACCATCTTATACTTTGCTACTTGTTCATGTTGTTATGTGCTTTTTTGATGAGGTTTGTTTATTTATTATTTTATCTTCTTGATGAGTTGATACATTACACTTTGCACATTTGTTTTCGTTTCTTATGGTTAACTTTGATTTTATAGCTTACCTGTTCATCAAGTTTTGTATGTCTGATTGTGTTTGTTCTTTTCTGCTTTTTCTCCCCATTTTTTCCATTTCTGCTTTCAATGTTAGAGTGCAACTTTATGTTTTTCTTCTAGTTATTATTAAAAGCAGATTTGAGAGGATTTAATTCGTCAAGTTTCAGCTCTAATAGTGCATGTCTATGGTTAGAATCATATGAACCAAAATAAATATTAGTGAAATAAATCTAGGGTCTCTTAGAATTAGGAAAAACCACTATTTCCATTTGCTGTCATCCTGTTTAGAGGTGATTTTTACTCTTTTTGTGGGTTTTCTTATTTCTCAAACCCTGTATATGATTATACTGAGCAAGTTTATTTTTTCTTTCCCCCTTTACTCTATTAATCTCTTCTGTCCCTGAGTTTTCTTCAAACTTTATCTACTAATTTGTGCTCTCATGTGATTAAGGCTTGTTTCCCTCTTTCATGCATTAGATGCATGTGTTATGATTTATGGTGTGTTAATATCTATGGTCCAAAGTTCTTTAGTGCCTAATATACCTTTGGTAGAGCCGTTAAACTACAGAAACATCAAGCAAATGCATGCATGTTTATACTAAACTCTTGCTTATTATTTGTGGCCCAATATGCATTGTCCAATTACAAATGACTGTTCACTTTTTTGCTGAATTCAAGAAAGCATTAATCCCAATTCATTCTATCTAGACTTTTGAAAATAATTTAATTCTTAGGAGAGATGAATTAGTGCAATTGAGTATAGTAGTTTTCTTTTTTCTACTTAATTCTCCTTTGTTGTAGTATGATCAAAAAATTCTTCTCAAAAAAAAAAAACTTCTAGACTCCTTTAGAATTCATTAAAGTTGGTGACAATTGTAGAACTTGTTCTGCTTTGTTTATTTTCTGCCATTGTTTTCATTATTCAGCTTCTGTATGTAACATCATAGCATCTTTCTCCACAGTTCATTAACAGTCACATATTATAGCAAGAATCTTCACCACCAAAATCAAAAGCACAAATCTAGTATACATATGCATGTACAACAATATATATATATATATATATGAAATCAAGTACCTATATAGCTCTGAATGAATACAGAATTTCAAATTCAAGCAATTTGAATGAATACAGAGGAGTATATATATAGATATGTACATGTATATATGATGTGTCTATGCAGAAAGAAAGAGATTGAAAACATACCAAATCACTATTTACCTTCGGATTGAAGCCAAAGAACTCAGATCGATTCAGAAATGAGGTGAAGATCGATTCTGATACGAGGCGGCACAAAGATCGATTCGGATTGAAGCTGAAGATCGATTGAGTCCTAGCTGAGATCGATCGAAGCTGAAGATCAATTGATTGAGTCGATTGATCAATTGATTGAGTCGATTGATCAATCGAAGCTCAAGATCGATTGATTGAGTCCTAGACAGAGGAAATAGCTGAGATTGATTGAGCCCTAACTGAGACCGATTGTAGTGAAGGAAGGAATCTAGCTTAAGAATGCACGTATTTGACAACTGAAGGAGGGATCAATCGAGTTAAGCGCGTATTTGACGACCTTTAGCAACCAAATTAATTCGTCTCTAGCTTTTGCCTACCTCACATACGGGGTCAACTGATCAAATCAACATAAACTTTAACTTTTTTGGTCCCTAAAAGTCTTCAAATAATTTTTTTTGGACTATCATAAAAGAATATACAGTGTTTGTATAATTTTTTCTTCAAATTTATTTTGGTCTCTAAATGATGGTTTTTAGAGACTAAATTCAGTTTGTCTCTAAATATTAGTCCCTAAATCACTAATTTCTTGTAGTGCGCGTACTTGAAACTTGAGATTCATCATCCTTGTAATGGTGATGTTCCCACTTGTCATCATATTGCCTCTGCCTGCAAAGCATGTGCCGTTGAATCAAATAAAAGGTTTTATTCTGATAAAAACACATAAAGCCTCGGCATATATAGGGCATTTAAGTAATTTTGTCCCTCAAGTTTTAGCTTCCCGCTTAAGCTGAATGAATAAGCACCCTGGAAGCCACTCAGCAAAAAAAAAAATTACTTTTTTGGCTTAATTTAAGCTAGTACAAAAAGTGATTTTAAGTTCTACCAAATACACCATTGTAACTTAAATTAAGTTAAAAATTGAAATAAACAACTTTTAAACTGCACCAAATAGGCCTAAAATCATATCTCAAATTAATTTAGCAAGTTTTGATTAATACAATCAGCACAAAATACAGTACACGTATGCAAATATGTGATACTCACTATACCTTCACAGAATGGCTATTTTGGGCAATTCATGAAAATTATTTAAATTAAGAAAATCATTAAAATGATTCTTTGGAGCCACTTTAAAATAAACATATAGAAAGATATCACAGGTCTCCAATGTTTATGTATAAAAAATCCTTGATCATTATTTTGGGGGTTTTTTTTTCCTCTCGAAACCTCCACAAAATCATAAAAAGTATGCTCAGTTAATCCCCATTGGATAGGTCTGGAAGGGTTAGATTGAACTTACAACCACAAGGTTGATAGCCTGAGTTTTAACATCTGAATCAATAACCCCTTGTTACGTGATAAAACCAAATTGAATATATGAATGCATATATATATATATATATTAATCATGATCTTGACAAAGAAAAAAAGAAAGAAAAAAAATCATTACTAAAAAGCATAAAATCATAACTTGCATATGGAGTGCGCTTGGGACTTTGTCTAATCAAGCTTAGATTAAGATTTTGTTTGATGTTGTGAATTTCAAGTTACTAAAGCTGCTGGGACAATTTTGTTTGTATTTTCATTATTTTTTTTAAGTCAAGGGAATCTTAACAATTTAAATTTTCTAGATATTATCATATTAGAACTAGTTGTGGTACAAGGAAATATTTTGAGCTTGAATATTT